AGAGAAAAGAAAAGCAAAAGGTTACTGCTGCAAAACCTACAAGGGGCGGGGGACGGCGACAGCACACAGCACCCCCCCCCCCCCCCCCCCCCCCCCCCATATACACACCGACATACACCCACACCCTTATCACAGCAATGGAATAAACATTTTATAAATACTTCGAATGAAAACTTTTTGACGAATTTTTGAGCTCTATGTCTCCCAACCAATAAAATTTCACCAAACGAAACTTCTCGCGTAAAAAGTTCCCGATCATAGTTCACTTTCAAAAAAGTTTTGGGATTTCATTCAATTCTCTTTCTGAAGAGCGAATCTGACAAATCCCCGTTTTTGATCAAAAATTCTATTTTACCAAAAGATACTTATGTAAACTAATGCCTATTACGGAGGCTAGACTTAACGAAGTATCAAATACCAAAGGCATTCTATAGGATGATATATAACCTATCATGAAATCTCAAGAAACCAATATGATAGACCTTCACACTCATATACTAAGATTCTGATTAAGCGTTCATCAAACCGATACTTAGAGTTCTTTGTGATATGAAAAAAACCTACACTTTCTAGGGTGTAGGTGTAAAAAGGGGAAATGAGGAGAAGTCTCACACCTGAACACCATTTTTCAATGTAAAAAATGTTTACAGACTGCTCTTTAAAATTCTACGAAAAATTTGACAGCTACTTCTACCAGTTTATATAACAAGTCTACTAAACATATCCTTGTAACATGTGAATCATGCTCCTTCTTTCAAAAACCGACAATCTTTCGATCATTGTCCATTTGAATGCAACAGAGTTGTACATATTTCAAGGAACTTTTGCAATACTGGTCATAATCGATTCAAATTCGATTTGACGACGCAGAGATCTAGAATAAAAAGTGAACTCTACTTTTCATCTTTCACATTCTTAACTGTGCATATGTATGAAATCATTGTCATTTGATCAAATCAATTAGTAGAATCTCTTGAAAATAGAACTGCGTAGTGACCTAGAAGCTCCTCTCATTTATCCTTCACATGTGAGCTTCTAAAAAATTTCCGACGAAAGAAATATGGTAACCTGATAGTAGTCGTTCGAATACAACCAACTGTCGGTTTTCTGTAGTTAACTTTGTACGTCTTTCCATCTACAGAAATCATGCGTTCCCATTTTCATTATTCTGCGGCGTTATCCACAAGAATCACGCTGGAAAATTTTTTATTAAGCGCCAAGTGCATCAGGCATGGTTTATATCTTTTACTATCCCATATGTTTGATTGCGGTCAAACTGCGATCATATTGTGACCCGCAATTGCGAAAAATTGCGACGCAGTTGCACGTAGCTGCGATGGAAAAATCGCAGTTTTTCGCAATTACGGGTCGCAGTTGCGGCACAACTGCGTCGCAATTTCTAAAAGAGATGACATAGATGAAGTTTTCATTATATTAATATTTTTATTGAGAATTAAAAAAAAATTTTTGAATGCAAAAAATAAAAAACTTTAAAAAGCTACAAAATTGAAAATTCTTATAAAAAGCTAAGAAGAAGAATTTTAAAAAAATTTTAAAAATGACCAAAAGTTAAAAAAATTAGAAAAATACAAGAAATAGAAAAATTAGAAAAATTTAAAAATTAGAATATTAATGAAAAATTAAAAGTTAAAAGAAATTAGAAAAATAAAATAATAATAATCTAGAAAAAGGGTGTGAGTGTGGGATATGGGAACTGGTGTACTTATATTTGACACCCATACCAACACCCACACTCACCCGCTGAAGGAATGTTGATCTTATAATTATACATCATTGACTGACCAGATCCATTGATACTAATTTTTTGTCGATTACTATGATTATTTACTAGAGATCTAGTGACCAAAACAATCTAACTTTTACAAAAAGGTCTATTTTATAAGGTGAAACACATTAAACAAGATGATTTATTTTTCGTTTTGACGGTTTTGTATTGATTAACACTTCCTCCAATTATCTATCCAAAGAACAGGTTTAGTAACGCTAAACTGATATTGTTCTTCATGAAAGTGAATCCAAAATTTACTGGAGAGTGAACATAATTCTCAGAATGGCGTTGCTCCTCTCCCCAATTCCAACGGCAGATAAAAGACTGTTTTAATGACAGTGATGACAATCGATAATTTAATTTCACAATAAAAAGTTTGTCCAATCTTTAGATCAAGATACTCTGCTTACTTTTCGTTCTACAGAATTTTAAATCAATGTCGAGATTCATCTCAAGAACACCAGAAAAATTCTTTTTCGGATTTTGACTTGAAGTTTTACACACAAATAGACCTTAATGAAAATAATTTATTATAAAAGTTTCAAATCTTTTTGTTCGTTGTATCCCAAGATACGGCTATGGTAAAAGCGTGACTGTTGCATCACTCATGTACAACAACAGATTTGGTGTTCTTACTATTTCAAGACAGAAGTCAAGCAAAACATCTGAAGCTTTCAAAATGAACTTTTTTCATCAAGAGGGCGTGGGTGTGGGTTAAGAGAACACCCATACCCACACATACTCACACCCTCACCCACACACACATCCTTTCGTGGTAATAGTGAATTTGACAGGAGTGCACATATTTGACAAATTATTATGATTACGAATGATCATTTCTTTTTTAATGATTTAGTGAATAATGTAATTATTCGTCTGTGTATATTTGAGTGTCGTAAAAAACACAACAATGTCTTTTAACATGAGCAAAAATGACTTTTTTAACCCAACTAATAAGTTTATGCATATAATCATATGCCTTCTTAGCGGTATTCCATTTAAACTTATTTGAACTTTCTACCGGTTTGAAATTTTATTACCTTGTGGATCATAAATATGAACTTTTCATCTTGTGCGTATCTTCCTGTGCACAAGTTTCGTGGTGTGCAAGTTTCTCTACGTAACTTTCGCTGTGCACATCATTCAGGATCTCACATATAAACTAGTTCTGTGGTGCCTAAAGTCTTATGAAAAATCCTGTATTGTGAATCATAATATTGAAATTATGAAGACATAGAGAAATGACTTTTGTGTTCTTTCAGCTTTATGTTAAAAGTGTCGAAATTATGAAAAAAAAATCACACATACATGTAAGTAGCAATTTTAATATATATTCTCTTTTCAACATCATGTCATTCGAAGCAATATAATGCAAGTAACTCAATCTTTTGATTTCACCTTTCAAAAAGTACAATCAAATCAAGGTGAAACTTTTCTTTCACAAGTGAATGTTTCATCTTGTAGCATCTAGATGAAAATACTATGAAAAGGTCTTTATTCCTGAAGTAAAATTTTTTTTCATCGTCGAACGATATTGGTAACAAAAATTATAACACTATTGTTGCATTTCCTATTGATATATACGAAAATATTTGCTCTCTCATCATACTATATAATTCTGAATGTTTATTACATGATCGACAATCAATACAAATGATCAGTTTTTACTTTTGTTTGTAAATAACAATAACTAATTTGGACATGATAAGATTCAAGAAAACTAAAGAAGTATTATATTACACAAGAAATTGATATATGAGTATATGACATCACTTTATCGAAGATCTTATTAATGCACAATATTCATACTTGAATTTGATCTTTCACTCATAAAATCGAATGATTCATTTTTATGATAGATGTTTTATTTGCTTGTTATATTCTTCCATTGACTTCTGTTCTTTCATATATAAATTGTTTGAAGTGTTAGTTTGGTAGAAATAACTTTTCATTCATCGTTGCTCAGTATATTACTTATATCACAAAATATTTGAAATGTACACATCTACGAGTCAAGCTTGTTCAGCACTTGTACATAAATTTCAATCTAATATTTGTTCATTTCTTAATTCATCTGAAACAGAACTATCTACAGATTCACATATTCGATGCAGCAATAAAATGAAAAACGAAAAAAGAAGAGAAGAAGCGCAAAACAATGAAATGATTGTGTCTTCTGACATTTCAACATCAAGTAAAGAACAAATAGAAACAACAATGGGCAATAAAGTATTAAAAGAGAAAAGCAAAAAGGCAAATTTTACTGAACTTACTGATAATCAAATTGAAATGCTTATTTCATCAACGAATTTTTCAGCTGAACAAATTCGTGAATGGCATGAAAGTTAGTTTTTTTCTGTTTTATTTGTTTTCATTCATAATTTTATTTTACTATTCTTCTTTTCATATAGGTTTTATACGTGATTATCCATCAGGTTTATTTAATTATATTCAATGATTGACCATTTTCATCGTTTTCTTCAATAGGTAAACTCGATCGAAAACAATTTATTGAAGTTTATCAAAAATTTTATCCACAAGGAAAAGTATGAAATCGATAAAAATCTTTTTTTCTAAATGCTTCATATTTGAATTAGGCAAGCAATTTTTGCTCGTTAGCATTCAAAACATTCGATCGGGATAATAATGGTTTGACAAATTTTATTTCTAAGATTATGATAGAAAAGTTATTCTTATTAGGTATTATCGATTTTAATGAATTTCTAACAGCTATTGTGTTGACTATGAGTAGTAAGAATCTATTCATTTCATTTATATTATTTGTTTATATTATATAGGCGAACTAAAAGATCGTCTTGATCTTGCCTTTTCAATTTATGATATCAATGGTGATGGTTTACTCGATAAAAAAGAACTAAGTTCGTTTTATTATTTCGAATCGGTATCAAATAATGATTTCTCTCGTGTTTTTTATTAGCGCATATTATAAAATTGATTTATGAAGTCAATGGAAAAAGAAAACTTAAACAAGATCTTGAACCACAAGATATAGCTCGTATGATTATTGACAAATTTGATATTGATGGTGATCGAAAGCTTTCTCGACAAGAATTTATTGACGGATGTTTAAATGATTCCCAATTACGAAAATTACTCACGCCATGAAAAGATTTTCAACATTACTTGCCTTTTTTAATACATGATATTTTATTTGTACAGTCAGTTACTTTCTCTTTTTCGTGTTTTTGAAAAATAAAATAAATCAATGAAAGTGTTTTCTTTTTTCTTCAGGTAAATTTTTTGTAGTTCAGAAAAGAAAACTTAAAGTAAATTTATTCGATTAACAACAAATTTATTGAACTTAGTGCTGACCTTAATATTAATATTTTGTACATGTTTCGAGCAGTGGCGTAGACAGGAAGGGTGTGGGTGTGGATGTGAGTGTCAGGTGTAGGTGTAGATCTTGTCTTAATATAGATATCCACACCGATACCCACACTCAAGTCCATTTATCACTAGGAAATGTTCTCAAACATGAAAGTTTGCTTCTGTATGACACTAATGTTCAGTTGTCTATACATCGACTAAATTATATATTATCATTTTATTGCCATTACTCGCAATTTCTGTCTTGTATTTTCAAAGCACTTTCATTTGCACATTGAATCAGTTTTTTATTTACATCTTCTATTTAGTTTATATCAATTTTTAACTTTTACATTGGGAGAATCACGTCAGAACTTACATCATCAAAGCTTACAGCGTAGATTGCTTCAGCTTTTTTTGTTTAATAAGTTTTATGTGCTCAGAAAGATCGTTAACCATTCCTCCACGCCCTTCATTAGCGAATTTATGTGTAGTACCGAGTATGCCGACGAAAAAATACCGTTGAATCATCACCATGGAGGTTATTGGTTTAATAAAGAAGACTGTGAATTGATTTTTCTAAAACAATTGATTAGATCTCATCAAGATCGCACCACTTGAATCTTCAAACATGTACGCCTATCAAAATTTTTCTATTGTAGGCAATTGCTCACCATCTGGCTATGCCACTGGTTTCAAGATCAAATGACAATACAAAAATGTAAAGTTCCATATCTAAAATCGAAAAAATAATGAAGTCTTTAACATATTTAGCAATCAAACAAAAAAAGCGATTGTTTGTAGATCACTGAATGTAACATGAAATTCACTAGACTGATGTTAACGAACTAGTAGAATACATAAATAGTGTAAGTTACAATGGAAGTCCTTCAAATGTTCAATCGATTTTGAGTCGAGACTATGTGCATTTTGTAGATCCAAATGAGCTGTAAAAACCCTGAATACAGCTCATGCCCTTAGCTTGCTCCTGCGGAGATACTGCACTTTTATGGTACATTTTAAATAAATTTCACGGTTCAGAAAAATTGATTTTCGAGTCTTGCATTGAAAATTTGCATAGAGAAAGATCTTAACTAGCATAATTCCAACTGTTTGGATTTGCTTCTATCATCAAATAAAAACATAAAATCTACTGGTTCATATGAGTCATATAAAAGATACACTATCCATAACTATAACCTAAGGACACAAACTCTTTTCAGGGTATTCATAGTTCATTTGAATCTACACAATGCACATAGTCTTGACTCAAAGGCGATTGAACACTTGGAAGATTTGCATCGTTAGATTCGTAGAACAATTTTAATGTAACTGGAAAGATTTGCATTCATTAACCATAAGCTGGTGTATCTATTATATGATAATCAATGATATTAGAGTCGTAAAGAGACTCAGAACGTATTGATTTGCTTAGAAATCTGTTGGTATTTTCAAATTGATAATACTGTGTTAAGGGATGCTTGATTCTTAAGTCGCTCCCGTTAAAAATCAATCTTGAGCCTGGCACATTCAAATCGCATGAAATTTTCAGGAAATATTATGACCTCAAGCGAAGAGACTACGGAAATTTTCAATCCTTTATCATGACGTTTTTAGCAGATATTCAACAAACAAAGATAAAAAATAGGTCATTTGGCAACCCAAACTTATCCATCGATTCTCGTTCTATAAATTTGTTTTTTTTTTATTTGAAAGAGTATGTCAGACTAGTGTTATCTTTCTGAATTCTCAATTTTTATACGAAGAAAAATGATGACAAGTTCAATATCTCGAACATCTCTAAAAAAACTGATCATCTATTTACAGACTACTTTTTTTTTCTGTATAATAATAAAAACTGTTAATTCAAAAAACGGGCACTGTACTTTTACATGCTTTTCCAAAGAAATAGAAGCAATTGCCTGAAATGGTGCTTCTTCAACATTTCTGAGATGTACGACTAGAAAAGCATAAATAGAGAAAATGTAAGAAAAAGAATTTCCGGTTTTTGCTAAAAAAAAAAGCATATTTTTCAAGCAGATGATGATTGAAATCATTAAAACTTTTATCAAAACACGAGATGCCAAATAAAAACTCATGTCGTTTATGAAAGATTCGACCTTGGACTATCTTCGCAAGCATTTATTTCAATTTCGAATCCTCTGACGAAAACTGACTTGTTTTTAGGGGACGCTTGATAAAACAATATCGCATTTACGACTAAAAATTTTGAACTTGATGATTCAATACATTGACTTATATAACGATTTTTACAAGCATGTTTACAATTATTTTCTGAATTAGCAGATCAATTGATCCTTTATATTAATGATTACATGAATTACCTTTGCAACAAGAACATAAACTAAAAGTTGTGTTTTCATTAATCACTACCACTAACACACATAGAATTGAGAAAATAAGAAAAATACAATGAAATATATTTACAATGAAATTGAATAAGAAAAAGAGAAAAAGAAATCTTATCTTCGATCTTTATAAATTATTATATAGACGATCAAATATAGAAAAATAATAAATAAAATTATTTAATCGAAGGATCATATCAATTTTCAATGAAGTTTTATGCTAAGAACTAATCAATATTCCATTGATTTTATGAATAAAAAAAAAATATTATATCATGGAAAAAATAAAATTGTTTTTATCTAACATGTAGGAATCTTCGCATGATCAAATAATTGTTTTTTCGTTTCTTTCGATGAAAGACAGAAAAACCGAACGCAATACATGTATGATTGTTTTGATTATCATCATTGAAGCGTGACCAAGAAAGCGAATACACTTTATTGCTTATCTATCGACACACAACATAAAAATTTTTCTATATGTCACTACCCGCACGCGGGTAGTGACAAGTTGATGCATGTACAAGATCAAGTAAATATTTCTGAAAAAATTGTGTTCATCTTGATCAAATGGAAACATTGTAATGAGCAATAAATGTGATTGAATCATTTTAATCTTCTATTAATTAATATTAATACTTATTTACCACGAACATCTAATCAAGAATATCGATTATAAATACATTAACATTTGGTTTATTAATCTTTTTTTTCTATTCGAATCTCACTACTGTTCTGTGATGCCTTTCAAAATATTTGAACTAAATATTTGTTTTTAAATAACTTTTTTTATCATGTAAAAATATTTAGTTAAAGCTCTGAAAATAAAATTTATATATTGGTCAATATCAAAGTGCGACACCTGTTCATATTTGAATTTCATATAGTTTTCTGTTGATTACAACATCGACGAATACGCAAATAAAATCATTGACATATTTATTTAGACTTGCATGAGAATGTGAAATACGCACACATGTATTTTATCAAGGTACATCGATCAAATATTAAATAAAGAACGTCATTGTATATCAAATTGGTTTGAATGTCATATGAACATGAATCAATTATTCTCATTGAGCTGATGGCTTGTTTAAAATACGTTTTTTATTAAAAATATTATTTATGTAAGTTATCAATTGATATAATCTTATTTTATCAATAAATTATTGAATAAACCTTCACTGTTAGTGAAATTTTGAATTCATAAAGATTTTTCCTATTTTCGTATGAAAGCGATATGAACATAAAAAGATCACTTGAAAAGAATTAATACATGCTGAATTGTCTATTTCTATATTATGAAATAAAAATATTCTTCTTTAAATTCCAAATAGAAAAAAAAATACAAATCAATCAAAATGGAAATAGATGATGTGTTACCTTGTCGAAAATTTGCATTTAGTATAGGTCATTTTCTTAATGATTTATGTGCATCTGTATGGTTTTCTTATTCGCTTGTCTTCTATCATCGTGTAGCGAAATTTTCAAATAGCTCTGCTGGTTATTTATTATTAATTGGTCAAGTAGCTGATGCTCTTGCAACTGCATTTGTTGGTTTTGCTTCAGATAGAACTAAACATGGTTTATGTGGTAAACGAAAATCATGGCATTTATTAGGTTTGCAAGCTCATATTCATTTGTTTTCTTTTCGAAAAATAAATAAAACATTTTTGATTGTTCATAGGCGTTGTTTGTGTACTCAGTTCATTTTCAATATGTTTTCAATTAGAAAATGAAAGTCTTTCATCTATTTTACCATCATTTATTTATTATACAATATTTATAGTAATATTTCAATTTGGTTGGGCATGCTCACAAATTGGACATTTATCAATGTTAAATGAACTAACATCAAAAGACGGTGAACGTGTTGCATTAAATGCATATCGTCATGCTTGGTCAATTGTTGCAAATATATTTGTTTATACTGTTACTTGGTTATTACTTAATAAAAATCAAACAAGAAATAATACTGAAATGAATGAAAATGTTTTTCAAGTAATATTGAGCGCGCTTGAAATTGTAAAGATATTGACAAAATTTTATTTATAGATGTTGACTCATATCATTATTATTACTGGTTTTTTTACATCGCTTATTTTTCATCTTGGCTCGAAAGAATTACCATCTATAACAAGTACTAAAAAAAAAAAGAGATATGATTTAAGATCGCTTCTTCCGGAAAATCGATTTTTCTAAATAAAAGACACTTGGTTAGATAACCATATAGGCCATAACCTTTAAAGTGTCTATTTCTTAGTTTCAAAAAATAACGTCTGATTGCAAAATGCATTATGAATACCGAATATTCTCTATCTAAAAGGCGCTATTACAGTCATCGCTCCTTGCCATGATCCAACGTATAGCTTGAAGGTCTCCAAAATGAATTTTTAATTACTACGTAATATAATCATATTTGACGCTAATGCCCGAAAACACTTGAAGCGTAAATAATGGGCGTTTCATGAGTTGTGAGTCTTAGCGAAAATTAGTTTTTTATATAAGTAAAGAGTGATTCTTATTCAACTATATCTATATGAGCTTGAAATACTTAGGACAGTGTTCTAAACGGCATATTATTCGATGACACCATACGGTGGATTCATATTTCATTAAAACTTCTAAAAAAATACCAGTCGATTGCGAGATTTTAATTTTATCACATTTCTTCTGTTGATATCACTATTATTAAAAGATATGATGTTACCGAATAATATTGCTCTTAAAGCATCGTCCTAAGTCCTCGAAGCTCATATAGATGTAGCTGGGTAGAAATTACTTTTTATCTACACATAAAGTAATTTTCGTTGAAGCCTAGAACTTATGGAACACCCTTTATACAACAAAAATTTGAACGTTTTCTTCGACACTAATTGATGTATCCACTTTTGCATGCTGGACAGGAATTTTGTATTTGACTCTCGCGATCAAAGAAAATGTCGCTTTTCAAGAAAATTTTTCCTTGAATTTCGGGAGTTTTAAGCCTTTGTGAAGGCTCCAAAAATGAAATAGAATAAAAACTTGGTGCATTTCCCTTGGTCAAATATCTTGAGAAAGCTTCATGGGAACCACATACACTGTATCAAAAATCGATTTTAGAGGGAGGGTGATGTGACGATATGGGTGGGTGTAAACTATCAAATTTTTCTTATAGAACATTATAAAGTTATTTCGATAACATCTCATACATGGCGTGACGTTTTATGTGATATTCAATTTTATTTAATATCATTTATTTGGATGCTAACACGTGTTATGAGTAATGTTTCACAAGTTTATTTACCTTTATATATTATGGATACAACAGATGCAAGTGAAGTAGATCGAGTTCGTCTTATTTTTTAAGGAAATATTTTTCATGTAATAATTTATAAATTATATTTAGACATTTATTGCAATAGGTCCATTATGTGTTTATATTAGCGGTTTTATAACTTCATTTCCAATGCGTAAAGTTAATCAATATTTAGGACGAAAAAAAACAATGATTGTTGGACTTATGAGTGTCCTTTTATCATCATTTCTTTTTTGGCATATTTTTTCATTAAAAATAAATTTCGGTATTTCAATGCAATTTACAATTCTTATTGGTGCAATGTTACTTGGAATAGGAATAACAACAGCACAAATTACATCAAGTGCATTTACATCTGATTTAATTGGTCAAAATACAGTAAGAGAATATTAATTAATTGTTTATCAACTAATTTATATTCGTACTCGTGTAGGAAAGTAGTGCATTTGTTTATGGAGCTATGTCATTTTTGGATAAATTGGCTAATGGTTTGGCAATAACTGTTATCCAACAATATAATCCTTGCAGGTATGAAGGATTTTATCTTTTCTTCATTAAAAATATCATTAGTCTTCGTTGTTTTTTATAGTACATGTTCAACTTGTTGTCCACTTTTTTATCGAAAAGTTCTTTCATTTGTATCTGGTGTTACTGCAATTTGTACATTATTAATATTAACAAGAATTTCACGTACTCATAGTAGTACTCGACAAACAGGGTCCGCACGACAATCTCTCAGGTCTTTATGGGATCAAATTATGCGACGTACGATCAAAGTAATATTAACAAAAATTGTATGATACTTTATAAAGATGAATCGTAGCGATTGTCAGAATCTTAGCGAATGAGTTATACAAACAAGCAAGGACATTTCTCACGTAGTTTGTGAGGACGCTGCGGTGCATGTTTATGTCAGTGAGCTTATTAGTCATATATTTGTTTTACTACTAAAAAATCAAAAAAGTTTCAGACAATTAACTATTATACACTGTTTTACACAGCATAATTCGATAGTTTATATAAAATAAAATTGTAAAGTTATATTTTATTATGATATGTACTCGAATAAATTCTGAATAAATATTGATTATATTTTAATAATATCAATGCATGGTCACTGTTATCATTCTATGCTAGCATGTAAATATAGAATAAGTGTGCTCATCGGAAAACTCGACCAAACTTTGTTACCATTTCGTTTTTTACTACTACTTGTTGTGAAAATAACCGTCATATTTGTTATCATTAACTTCTGTTTCGTTTACATTTTTAGTTCTGAAATATTCGATGATTATCAAAACGTGTTGTACTTAAAATTCAATTTATAAAGATTAATCTCTTCAGCTAGATTTATAATAAAATTAAAAGAACAAAAGGTAACGACAAAAATCATTTGCTTGAACTCCGATGAAGAGTCAAAATAGATCAGCAGGTATTCATTCGAGTCATTTAACTCTGAAAGCATTCATACATTTATGATTCAATGAAGATATTAATTGAACACAAGACAATCACAAAATTTAATAAGACAACTTGACAACATATTCATTATCTTCATATACTTAGTATTAATATAGGCATGTAGAGAACCCGAACGTTCGAGTTCGTTCTAGAATGCAATCGTTTTCAATTATTAGTAAAACTAGAGAGCAGAAATAAGCCAAAATAAACACTTTCATGATTGACGATGATGGATCTATAGACAATGAATTAAATGACCCAAAAACTGAATGACAGATGACTTTCTAAATGAACAAGTTAATGATATTCGGAAATACTAAAACCCGAATTTGACCGAATCTAAGGATGCTTCTGTGATTGCCTATATGCTTCAAGAACTGCTTAAATAATTATCTAAATGCTCGACGTTGTTTGAACTCCGAACTCCAGTTCGGGTTCGTTGTATGCCTACAATAATAATGAATACGAAGAATGTATCCAACGAATGACTCATCAAGAAAAAACTATCATTCTCACTATTTCTTGTTCATTATGTTTCTCAATTTTCAGCATATGAAATCTTTTATCGAGATGGATGAGTCAATGAATAATAGACAAAAAGCAATATCATAAAGTATTCAGATGCAAACAACTAAAGACCTTTTCTTATTATTTTTCATACTCATTGGTGAAAAGTATATTTCTTTTAACTTGCCATTGCTATTAGTAAATATTAAGTAATACATGTTAGAGTAGAAAATGATATTTTGGTATCTTTAGTTAATCATAAATTGCATTCTATTCTATTTCATAATGTTATATATATATAGTGTCAATGGCTAATAGAAATACTTGTAAGAATATATCTCGAGATAATCAACAAGTTGAAAATCATTTATAAATTTAAAAAAAAGAAAAGCAAAACTAAACATGAGATCGAATGTTATACAAGTGAAACATATTTTTATCGGATGATGAATAAAAAATTATGCCTTGATGTTTATTTATATTCGTTTTATTCTGGAAGGTTTTTCGAGAGGATAAGACTGATTTCAAAAGATTTATTAAAATTTCATAAGATTTCACGATATTTTGCGAGTTCATGAGACTTCAATATTTAAGTCTCTACTGTATTCCGTCGAGTTTTTTATTACTAATATTGCTAAACAACTAAAAATGGAGCATGAAAAGTTTATTCATTCAAATGATATTCAAAATGTATTTCAATCATAATTGTGGACAAACAACCATTGAACTTAAATTTATAAGAAAAATGAAAATAAGTTTCTGATGAGGAACTTACTTTGTCTAAAAGTCATAATCGATCAACTACTATTGCATATGTTTGCATAGTTTCCAGAAATGAAATAATAATTAGACAGCTATATTCGAAATAGTAATTAATCTACGACTAAAAATAAAAGTATTTGTTACTATTACTCAAATGAATTATTATCTAAAATGAAGTTGAAATATGAATTATATTTGATTCTTGATTTTTTATTGAAAATATTTTCAAAGATAAGATATATCGAATATGAATAGTCCTTGTGACAATATGCATATGACGATGGTTATTATTTCTATGAGGAATATTTTTTCGTATGAAAAAGGCTATGATGATGAGATTAATTTAGATTTATATGATAAGATTTTAATAGATATTGAAAAACATTATAAATTATAAAAATTCCGTGATCGAATACGGGAAGACACATAGCTTTCATTAGAATACATAGTCTCAATTTGAACGAATAAATCTTGTTTTTTTTTTGTTAAGAATATGATCTATGTTTTAAACAATTAATAGATATATGAAAGTAAAAAATCGAAGAAGAAAATGTGAAAATTGCTGAATGTTATCGTATTACGTACGAGGATTGGTCTTATAGAATTAATACAACTAAGCTGATATTATTCAGTGAGACAATTAACATTTTGATACTACTATGACATACAATAATCTTGATTTTTTTTATTAGTAAAATAGAAATTTTGATAAAACATTAAGATATAATCAAAAACGATTGAATTCAGTCGAAAGACTTTGTTGCTTGAGCATTCAGATTTGAATTAGAAAATTATATTTCATATTAATAGTTATTCTTCAATGATCAAAATCAAAACTAATATCCATAAGAATTGTTTACAACAATGAGAATTCGTCTTAGTTTTTTTTTTTTTGAAATCGATAGTTCATTTTATATTTCATTCAAATTGATATTTTCATTTATATATTTTTTTTTATATTTAATTAAAATATTTGCCACACTTCGTCGCTTGTCTATAACAACGTTTTTTCTTTTGTTATTACTGTTCGTCACCAACGTCGCTGTTATTTTTCTCTTTGCTTTCGTAGCTAAGTATAAAATAAAATAATAATAAAAAGAATCACTTATTCTTTATTGTGTCAACATTCTTTTTGATTAGCACTTGTCATTCTTCATTAGTTTCAGTAATGAATGCACACTATACTTGTTAGAAGTATAAACTTCAATCGACACCAAATTTACAATAGCGTGCAGATGAGACGAATGAATTGATTCTTTTTATTGTAGTGTTAATCATGACATCGGCTGCTGTAAAAAAATTTTGTGCCACATGTCGTCAACATGGTGACGTCTTCACGTGTCGTGGATGTCGAAAAGCATTTTGTGCTAAACATATTGATGAACATCGTGATACACTGTCTAAAAAGCTAGAAAATCTTGCTGAAGAACTTGATCTTCTACGAAATGGTTTAAATCAAGAAAATGAAGCACAATCTTTTCTCTCTATGGTTGATAAATGGGAACAAGAATCAATTGCAAAAATTTGTCTTGCTGCTGAAAACGCTCGAACTGAAATACAACGATGGATTGATCGAAATAATATTGAGGTAAAAATACCATTTGAAAGAATAACAAATGAACTTCGATCATGCCAACAAACAGATGATTATACAGAAATTGATCTCAGAAGATGGACTCAACAATTAGAAGAATATCGTAGCAAAACTGAAAAACTACCTATCGTTAACATTATGAATGATGGCGATTCAGACACTATTCATCTAATTAGATTAGGAGAAATTATCGACCAAATGCAATCTGATTCGATGACTTATTCAACGCCTATACTCGATAATACATCAATGAATATTGAAGAAACAACTCTTCTTGTTCGAGAAAAATTTGACGATGTTATTGGATCAGCTGTACTATTAGAAGATGGTCTTATAGCAACATATTCAGGTGCTTGGTTAGGTGATTCGAGTATTTTTGGTATTAATGTTTATTCAACAGGAACACATCATATTCGTTTTCGTATTCTGGAAAAATTTTATGATTCACCTTTTTTCGGTATTATTACTGCATCGCAAAAGAATAAGAAACGAGTTTTAGAATCAGTATCTGCAAATGGTTGGTGGAATTTTGACTTTCCTATCGTAAACGGTGAAAAAGAGAATCGAGTGGGAAAAGATAAAATTATTCGAGCACAGGATGATATCACATTAACATTGGATTGTGAAAGAAAACAGATTTTTGTCAAACATCATCGAACGAAAAGACTTCTTCATTTACCAATCGATCTTCGAGCATGTCCTTTTCCGTGGAAAGTGCTTGTTGTTTTACATCGTCGTGGTGATTCAGTACGGATTATAGGCGGTACATTAAGTTTGACGAGAGAAAATATATCAAGTAGATTAAGTGAACATCGAAAAATGTAATATGGATATATCAAGCTTTTTCATGAAACATAAAATATGAATCTTATCTTTAAATTTTAAATATATGATTTAATTAGTCTTTTAGATTTTGTCTTACCAGATCGTACTTCTTTAAACGATTCAAAATGACCGTTTGGTCGCTCCGATATGACTATTTACTACTGTTCTTAAAATTAGCCGCTATTGTTATTCACAAAAGTTCTATGTTCAAACTTCGATACCACTAACCATAGAATGATCCGGAACAAATCACTAACGATTGTTTGTCTCGGATCACCTGTCCGATAGCATATTGACTATGTTGTGACATACATCTGCTCTTGCAACCAACTACTATGTATGAGGAGCTCAAGCAATTGAGCGCAAGAATTCTGTATTAGATCGATCTTTTATCCAGATCTATAGCTAGTATTAGTTCTAGAAAAGACATGGGACTGTTGAATTTGTCGCTAGACAGTACTTTATACCCTCAACATAGCGGAAAGGCACGAGTATTCTTCTTTCTGTAGATTAAAATCCTTATTACAGAAAATATTTTGATAAATGTTTTATCCAGTACAGTGACTTAAAAAATGATTCATCCATTTTAATTTGATATCTAATCAAAGATGCAGCGACGGAAGCTGCACATCCATCTCCACTTTGAGAAAATTTCCATTTTTTTTCTCAAAGTAAAAACCGTTCTTTTTTATTGAAAAACGAGATTGTAGAATGAAAAAAAAATGTGCACTTCTATTTAAAAAAAAGTTGCATATGCACCTTTCACTTTTTTGTCTTCGCCCTGTCTTCGTACCTGATAAAAAAAATGAGAGCAACTCAAATGATTGAAGTCTTTGTACATTGATTACATACAAGCTCGATCATATGTATCAAGATATATAGTTGAATCCATCATGAAAACGTAGAAGAAAAAAAAAACTAGAACTCACAAAGGTGAACGAACCATTTTTCTATTCATTACTTATCTAACAATTATTCATTTGTTGCTTTATATGTAAATAGTTCACATTTACAAAAAATGATTTATTGAATCTAACATATGCTCAATTTTATTTCAATTCAATTGAAAAAAAAATTATATTGAAAAATTTACTTGATTATCATTATTAGTGTTCAACCCATATTGAATTTAAATCATCGATTCTTTTTGAAACTTTTCATTTTCCATAAGTTCAGCATGTGTTTCATGAGAATATTATCGAATATTAGAAAATTATTTTGAGATTGAAAGCTTGTTGAAAAGAAAAATAATCATTGGCTTTTATTTTTCTTTTAATTCAAACAATTCAACTCAATTGAATGCTGATTCTTCTATTTCTCTCTTTTGTATGTTGGCTAAAAAATTTCATATACAAATTATTTGCAACTTAGCCAAATGATTCACAAATAAACAAAACACCTACTTTCGATCGGTACAAAAAAAGATTGTCGACTTGGAAATGACTGATTTCCCATAATATGTCGAATATAAAAATCTGCTTCTTGTTCCTTTATATAATGAAAACTGTTTGCATGTAACTGACGAATAAAATAAGTCTATTTGATTTATACAGTTGAATAAATCTTCCACTATTAATTTAGATTCCGACAATGGAAATGTGTGATCTGTTGAGCAAAAAAGTGAAACGTATTAGAGTCAAAAGAAAGCTTTCAACAAGAAACTAATGAATTTAAAATATGAGCTGCTTATGGCTTTCCTGAACAGAGATATTCAATTTTTAAGTTATGCAGTATTTGTGTATTGAAACACGATGATATATATGAGCCACGACCGAAAGTGCTCAATCGATATTCTCCGATTTGGCTCATTTTTACATATGTGATAGAGGCAAGTATTTGATGACTTTTGGTGAAAGCCGCTTCGAAAAATATTGAATCGTTCGTTTTTTATCACAGTTTTACTGAAAGCACTATAAATCGTTATAAAACGCACTTTCACGAGGAACGATTTTGGACACTCCAGAAAATCAACAAAACATCAATCGTTTGAGTTGAAATTTTTTGTACATCA